CAGGGGCAGACTTTAGCCAAGGCCGTCATTGACTTGGGGCCCAAGGAGGCCTGCACGGGGCTTACTTTCGTCTGTCTCAGTAGGGCGAAGAGACTTGTGGACCTCATGGTAGAGCCCATGAGTTTCGACAGGATTGGTAACCTTGGAAATTCGCCGACGATGAAGGCTAGGCTGCAGGAAGAGGTTAGACTTGGGGAGTTAGCACAGAGTACGAGGGTCAAGTACACGGACATGGGCGTCTTCAGCGCCGTCGCGGGTAACCAATGACGTGAATTGCAAAGAGAAAAAGAAGAAGAAAGGGTCTCTTCCACCTCCCGCGGACGCACACGTCTGACGACAGTTACATCTATCAGCTGTCGCTCGTTTTAGCGACAGCTACTATATCTTAATATTTTTCCCTTTGCTTCTCTCCATCTGCTTTCTTCCTTCCTTTTTCTGTTCTTTTCTACCTTTTTCCAATCTAGAGTTACCTCGCATAGAGTGCAGAGAGGCGAGCGGAGTGGCCTACACTATCTGTCGTTGACTTTTATTGGCTTGCGGACTCGTCGGGTCCATTTTGTTTTCGTATACCTTTTATTGAGTAAGTTAGCCTGTGACCACCGGAATCGACCCCGTCAAAGTGTGAGACTATTATAGTACCGACAGAACAAGGTACAAGGCAGAGAGAACGGAACGGTTTTGAATGTGAAGACAACAACAACAACAACAACAACAACAACAACAACAACAACCAACCTGAAACGTCTACGCATAGACTACAATCCCTGCCTTCTACACGCGTTCACGATGATGCAACTCAGGCAACGGAGTCACATTTTTGCTAAAAAAGCGACAACGACGCCAACAGATATGTTGGCAAACACACACTCACTTGCACTTTGTCCAGGTGCAACAAATCTCCCAGGTAGAAGCCCGTAGTGTAACCAGCAACCTCGCCGTTCGGCCTGTGCGCCTCTATCCGGTATGTGTTGAGCGTCCCGCGATAGTGCAACGTGATGCCCCACGGCTTGCTGTACGCTGCCAAGTCTGCTGGCGTGTAAAACTCGTCCTCACCACCACTACCAGCCCTGGCGTTCAGGCCGGACACACCACTACGACGCGAGGTTATTGCTCCTACTCTTCGCCGTTGTTGTGAAGCGGAGGGTGCTGCTGCTGCTGCTGCTGCTGCTGCTGCTGCTGCTGCTGCTGCTGCTGCTGCTGTTGAAGGTCCTGACAGCGCGGTTCCCGTTGCACTAATACTCCTGGCGTTGAAGCTCGCTGTTGGCGCATGGAAGGCACCCGCTGCAGCTACCAAGGTGGCTGCCGCGCAGAAGAAGAGTGTTCTCCCGCTAGATACGGTCGTCATGATCCGGCGCGAGCAGTGTCAGTGCAAGAAGGCCATGCGTGCACAGCATACACTGCTGACACCAGACTAGAGAGAGTTGGGGCTCAACAGACAGGTACAGCACAGAGCACATACCCCTCGAAAAACAATCGTGAGTGTGCGTGGCCTCGTAAGCTCTGAGAGTCTCCAACCCCAGCGACATCGGGCAACACCGAGCTTGCCATGAGTGGGCTCATTGAGCAGCTGGGTACTCTGAGAGCTGTCGGTGTCGATGGGGACGAGAGGCAACTGCAGCTCCTGCTTCGAACGGCGGGATACAACGTCGAACGTGCAATAAACCGGTGAGATTTCAAATTTCAAATGCTGTTCCGTCACGTCGTCCATCCGCATGCAACCCATAGCGTAACCCCAAGAGACATGAGCTTTACGCATACCAGCGACTTGCGGCTCGCCCGCTCCTTCTTGTAACGAAGAACAATGCGATACCAACTGCTTCTCCTTGTTCATATGCCCGCAAAAGTCCAGGCCATATACTGTACCAGTCAAGAAGTCCGTCAACGAGTCTAACCCATGGGTAAACTATTTACTACTCTTTGCTGCCTGTGAATTGGCTGCCGTGCCCGCGTCTTTGCACCCACAAAGCTATTTTGAGTCAGGACTACCTGGACCACCTCGTGGTACATGTCAGGAATCCACCACACCTACTCCATCACCACCCACTGCGGGTGTCGCCCCCGCGCCCCCACGCCCGAGTCGGGGGACTCCGAACAACTCAACCAGCCAAGGACTGCCGAGGAAGGATAAGGATGCCGTGGGCCGCAGCCCGGCTAGTGATGCTGGTCGGCTGCATGCGACTCCAGCAGGAAAGCCTGCAGCACGCAACAAGGAAGCGGGGTGGCCGAAGCTAGTGGGGCAGCGCTGGGTGACCGGGTGAGGGAGAAAAGCTCAGCTTCCAGCTGTATGTTTGCCCGCTCTTAGTTTGTTTTTTTACGTGCCCTCGTCCTGTTGCAATCAATCTCTTGCTGCTGCTGCTGCTTCCAGCGACGGCTTTGTTCGTTCCGCAGGGGGGGGAAGGGGGGGGTCGATCTTACATATATGCGTAGACAACAGTAACTGTCTTTGTGTCGTTGCTCTTGTGCTGCGCATCGCTGCAGTGCCTGCCTGCTGTCCCGATCAGCACGGTGCAAATGCTGGCAGATGCAGGGTTCGGCGGTTTCCCTGTCAGCTCCCAATTCCGACGCCCCCCCCATCCACACTGCACTACACCCCCCCGAACCTGTTAGGTACACAATCAGCAAGGGAAGCATGAAATACAGAGAACAAGTCACAATCATCAGCGAAGGATCAGGGTTATCATCGCGTTCGTCGCCTCCGGCACAGGGTAAGGGTAATAAGGGAAGAGGAGCGGGAAGGGGGGGAGGGGTGCAAGCAAATGTGTGGGCGGGGCGCGGGGCTGGCAGAGGCGGCGGCGGCGGCGGCGGCGGCGGCGGGAGGTTCGGGAGGCCGAAGGCATCGTCTGCGGGCGCGATGTCAAACATCCTGTTTCGGGGATCGACAGGGAGAGTCGAAGGGAGGCTTCCGCGAGAGGTGAGTTCATTTCCGGGGCAAAAAAGTGACCGACCGCCCGCGGGTGGGCGGGC